CCTGCTTGGTTTCATCTTGCAGGGTGACTTTAAACAACCCATTCAACCCTCTCAGTTTCACAACTTGTTAAATCACTGTGACAGAGAAATGCATGAACTGGTGCTTCCTTTACAAGGTGGAAGAAAAGGTTTGTAGCTACACAACCTATCTCACCTAAATCCATCCAGGTCAAAGTTGCTTCCTGAAATAAGCACATATACTTAGGTGGCTAATCTTCCATGTCCCAACTCCATCTGCTAATTCAGGTTTCCTTCATCATACCACCTAGCAGGAGGTCTTATAATTTCTTCTGCCCTTTACATTATGGGTATTCAGGATGTAAACACCAAGTCCTCAGTGTTAGCTTTTCCTTATTTATCTAGTGGTATAAAGAAATCACATGGTATATTCTTCAAATTAACTTCTCCTGACATATCCCTGAGGTTTAAAGAACCAGAATACATTTTGTAGATCCAGGGTTTCATAAGCTCAAAATGACCCAGCAATGTCATGCTTGCAGCCTAGAAAGCCAATTGTATGCTGGGCTGCATCAAAAGCAGCGTGGTCAGCAGGTCACAGGAGGTGATTCTCCCCCTCTACTCTGCTCTCGTACACCCCATCTGCAGTCCTGTCTTCAGGTCTGGGGCCCCCAACATAAGAGGAACATGGACCTGGAGCAAGTCCAGAGGAGGGTCATGAAGATGATCAGAGGGCTGCAGCGCTCCTGCTATGAAGACAGGCTGAGAGAGCTGGGGTTGTGCAGCCTTTGAGCACCTAAGGGGAGCCCACAAGAAATCTGGAGAGGGACTTTTTGCAAGGGCATGTAGTGATAGGACAAGGAGAAATGGCTTTAAGCTGGCAGAGGGTAGATTTACATTGGATATTAGGAAGAAATTCCTCACTATGAGGGTGGTGAGACACTGTCACAGGTTGCCCAGAGAAGCTGTGTCTGTTCCATCCCTGGCAGTGTTCAAGGCCAGGCTGGATGGAGCTTGGAGCAACCCGGTCTAGTGGAATGTGTCGCTGCCTGTGGAAGGAAGGTTGGAACCAGATGATCTTTAAGGTCCCTTCTAACACAAACCATTCTATGATTCTATGGTTCTCAGACTGTGGTAAGGGCATCACTGGTATGAGGAAGCTACAGTGTCTCTGCACCTGTTCACATCCCTCATTACTCACAAGCTACTCACTCCATGTACTTGACAAGAACTCCTAGGATGACCTCAAAACCTTCAGATAACCCACAGAAATTAAAGGTAGACACACATACATTATAGATATCTGACTAGATACAATCAGGGAGAGACATCATTCAGGGTTAACATCATGTCATGTTACACCACCCACAAAGCAAGAAAGTTGCAGATAAAAGGATTTTTAGATTACAGATAGTTCAATTGTTATATACATGAAAGTATGTTTTCTTCAAAAATTTCTTTTTAATCTAGTGTACCATTTTATTCAAGAGGAGATAAGGAACAGCTGCCTCTGTGTAAAAGACAGTGTGGGAAACCTGGAGCTGTTACAGTTGAGAGTTATTTCTCAGTTGGGTATGATTCATCCTTAATCTTAGTAATATTGAGCAAACTAAGATTGTTCTGCAAGCTAGGGCATACAAAACAAGAAATTAAAGGCAGTAAGAACTGACATATTCTATTTTAAATAAAACAGCTGTGCTCTTACTGCTAATGATGAGCTATTTCACTGCTCCATCTTCATGGCGCAAATGTACAATAGTGTTGGCAGGAAGGACTGTGAAGGGTTGAAGACTACATGGTCACTAACTGATTTATGGTTGTTGGTTTGCTGGTTTTGATTATTTTTTATTATTATTTGATTAGTTTCTGCACATAATTCCCTTGTCAGGAATTTCTTAGTAACGTTGGAAAGGGGATAATAGAGTGTCAAACAGAAAGATTTTGCCATTTTAAAAATAACTCAATTGTTCCCCCACAGTGCTGCTTTGGATCACACTTCCCTGCAATAACAGGGAATTAGAGAGAGTGCACAGAACTTATGCAGGCAAGAGAGACAGAATTACGTTCTGTCCATCTAGAAACATAAGTCCAACTCACTTTTTGAATATGAGTCTTGGTTATCATTATGAAATATAATGTACAACTAGCATACTGGGCAGAAGTGGTGAAGCAGAAAACAAGCACTTGGGGCATGTATAGGGAGGTGTCAGAGAAAAAAACTGCATTTGCAGAGAAGAACATTACAACATAACTAAAAGGCTAATATATATTTCTTTCTCAAAAGGGTGCATGGAAGCATTCATCCCTCCTTGCCAAAGGATCAATAAGCATCCTCTGTACCATCATCAGTCATCCCACAGACAATATTGAGATGCTGACAGAAGAAAGAGTGAAGGAGAAAAGGAGCATGGGGAGGGAAGAAAGGACAATTCAGAAACAGCATCTTGGTTAAATGCCAACTGCAAGGAAAGTATAAAGCAACAGAAGGAGAATGGGCTAAAACAATTGTTCCCTTCAGGGGACAAAATGACATTCTTTAATTGCTCAGGAGGCTTTCAAAATGAGGTGTCTACCTCCAGCAGAGTGAAGATTAATCTTGACGGAACAGTTTGTATGACAAGTTATTATATGTCAGGAAGTGCAATTTTAGGTGAAGTGGTTGATAGAATCAAATCAGTATTTCAAGCAAACAAGGTGAGTGAAATTTATTTACTGTGGGTTAAAATGATACAGATTATTACAAGGATGTCAGAGCTTTCAAACTCTGTTATGGAGACACGTAACAGGCAAAAATGGTAATACCATCTTTGCTATTTTTCCTTCAGGGAGTACTCATTATTAACTGACTTACTTTTCCTGTTCAGATTGCTCTGAGATTCTGGTTTAATTTTCAGATTACTTAGGGACAGAGAAGTGTTTTTAATCCTGTGGACAGGGAATGAATATTAAACATAGTATTCCAGAATTCAGTTGTAGATATTCTGCCAAAGCCTGGACAGATATGAAAACCGAGTCTCTTACAAGCATCTAGTGAGAAATACATGCACCTGAGAGCTAAAGACATGATGAAATAAGCTAACTACACTTACAGGAACAGGCCAACAGAAGTGCTCTTGTATTTTGCTAGTGCACCAGTATTATCTGCACTTAAACTTTCAATTCAGACTGATGAAACTTCAGTTATTCACTTGACATGGAAATTTATTCATTTCCACTCCTCCCCAATATCTCTGATAAAGAAAGGAGAGTTGCTTCTCCTCCCTCAGCACTTCCCTCCTTCTCTCTTTACCCAAGTAACTTTCAGTGGCATGCTCCATGGAATGATTTGCTGATAAGGACGTAGACAGAACATTTATTTCATGTAAGTATTTAGCATATGATAGAACCCCGCAGGTACTAATCCATAAGCCTGCCACCAGAAGACCATTTAAAATTTATCCAATTAGCTCTGTCAGACACTTACTACAAACAACCTGCCAATGCCCAAAAGCAATAATTTAACTGTTGATGGACAAACATCTACTTTTTCAATGAAAACCTCTTCAGCACACATCCAGCACATAAATAAACATCCACAAAACCTAAAACCAAATCTCAGATGTGCTAGGTCATCATCAGGCATTTTTTTATCTCATCATCATTATGGTTTTTTGCAGCTGACAACAAATACAGATTTATGACTGCGATGAAAACAGTGTAAAAATATGTATATTTTGTGTCAAATTGTGTAAGCGGCTCTGAAAAACTACATAAACACACACCAATTTTACATCCATAGTGAGGATGGATGAGGATAGTTCTCCTCAGATGGGAAACCAGAGGAAGAACCATCAGATAAACCAGATTGTTTCTGATGGAGTTGGATAGATGTGAATTCAATATGGCCTGAAATCTACTCAATTTAAGGTCAAACTCTCAATTTAAACTTGAAGAAAATTCTCCAGTGAGCCATAAACCTCATTCTTCTCAGTCCAGTGATGGAGGTCTTGATTGTTTTAACTATGAGCAAAATTCACTCAGAAGCTTCATAAAAGGCTGTCAGAACCTATATTAAAATCTAAGCCATTTAAGTTCCTTTGTTGGAAGGTGAGCTGGGAGAATAAGCAGGGGTGGGACTAAAGGACTGAAACTGAAACAGTTTAACTATCTTCCAACAGTAAGATAAGCAAACCAATTAAAAGGATTGTCATCCTGTAATTACCAGAGCGCTCTCTATTACAGAGGGAGCTGAAGCTTTGTTGCACAACAAACTGTTACGCTTGTAATTTAAATGAATAATGAGCCAAATGCATGAACAAGACTATTAAATTGTTATCACAAGCAGCCATGTCCCTCATTGATTAATGACTCCATGTGTCACCAAGGAAAGGAACTCCATGTGTCACCAAGGAAAGGAACTCCATTTTTAAGTGTGGATTGTCATCACCAGTGTTGCCAAAGCAACCACTGTCTGCTTTTGACTTACCCCTGTACGTGGCAATTAAACCATTACATGAGGAAACAAAACAGTGATTATTCTCTTTAACAGAAGGCTGTTAAAGAATAAGAGACTGAGGAAGCCAGATTTGTTTCCCAAGATTAGTGCACCTGAGGAAGAATCAGATTCAAGGTCAGAGCACATTCTTAATATGAAATTTATCATGGTCCCACACATTCTTTCAAATTTGATGTTAATCATAAAATCTGGAATAGTTTTAAACACTGGCAGAATCCCAGAAGAACCAACAGAAAGACATGAATAAAAAACCCCACTGGTGTTAAAAATGCCTATGTTACAGTAAATAAAACCAATTTACAGAACGCATAGTTAAGAAAACAGGTGCATTGGCAATATATGCTCTTTATAGAGAGGTTATTTATAGAGAGAGAATACATATGTGCATATGCACAAATAGATGATCAAACATTCAAAAATGTATGCTTGACCCTGTGTTTGGGTTGGTTTTTGTTACTGATTTGGTTTTGGTGGGTTTTTGGTTAATGCAATATTTCTACAGAATGTTCTACCAAAAGCAGCTACAACCCAGCTTCTTCAAACTTACAAGCTTCCCGGAGTTTCTCCTTGTCATAATGTAGCCCCTCGTATTCTTGTAAATTGATCCTGTTCACTCTGATCCGCAGGCGATCTGGGATGGAATGAGGACTGCAAGAAAAGAAGAAAGCTTCTTAGACGAAGTATTCCATTGAAGAGAAAAATGAAAACAGGATATGAAGTGATTTTAATGTTTTCTGAACATTAAATGAAAGGAAAAAGAGCAAGCCTCTTCAAAGCTAGGCCAAATCCTCATAGGTCCTTTGCTCCATTTGAGATTATGACTACCCACTGTACAAAAACATAGACATCACACCTTAAAAAGTAAGCAAAATCCCAATTGCTGGCTGTGTGGTCTGGAATTGTAAAGGTTTTCCTGAGTTCTCTAATCTCCATATACCTACCCCTCCCCTCTGCAGTTTGCCTTTTTGTACATCCCTTGGCCCCTACCACAGCCAGTAGATCTGCCAAGCTGTGGTTCAAGACACAGGTGTTTCTCAGGAAGTCTCTCAGGACAACCATTCTTCTGCCCATGAGAACATCCACCCTCATTCCTGGAGGATCCTCATTCAGCATCTCTGTTCTGGGAAACAGGCAACAGACACATGGCAAAGAACTGGATTTCCAAAGTAGTGAGTCCAATACATAGAACCCAGGAGGACTTTCAAAAGCAAGTAACAGTACAGGAACCTCATTTCTACAGAATTCAGCCAGATCTAGGTATTTCAACTGTCTATATAATTTTGAAAGGCTCAGTAGGTCCCTATCTAAAAATTAAATGTCAATATATTGATAAACTTGTCCTGAAAAGCTTTGATTTCATTATAGCTTCCACCTTATAACTAACTATTTTATTTTTTTAAGTTTAGGAGAATGCTATGTAAATTAACTTGGCCACATTTACATTTTTGACATTTAAAGAAAGACAGATAACCTGTGTATTATAATGTACATGATAAATGTCTGTCCCATAGGAACTGATCCCTGGGTCAGTTAAAATTCTGTGCTTCCACAAAAGGTCATCCATTTTCTCTGTTTTAATATAGTTAGTAGCAGAACCCTGTCAGTGGTATTATTGTCTAATACCCACACTGCCTTTGAAAGTTAAAATGTGCACTGTCATAAATATGCATGTTCACTTCTTTTTCTCAATTTTAAAATATTTGACTTGCAGCATTTGCACTGCTTATGCAGGACAAGCCACATCTCACAAATGAAAACCTTTTTTGTTTCTTTGTAAACAAGTAAGCCATTTTCTTTTTTGGCTAGAAAATACTACAGACCTAACAAAACACATGGTTTGTGGCCATCCCTTGGCAGAGCCACTGGGATTGCAATTGACAATTATTTCAGTATTATATTATTGCATGCTTTCTTTCTGTTGGCATAAACAGCTCTGTCGCACCTGAACAGAAGAAAGATTGAAAATCAAGTCCCAGTTAGAAAAAGCCCTACTGGCACAAGTGTTCTTTGCCTAAAAAGTGATAAGGATAATGAATTGAGGGTGCCTCCAAAACTGGAGTGCAAGACATCATGCTGGAAGAAGCTGCAAGTGAAGAAATTCATGTTCTGAACAGGAGGTTCTATATCAGTGAAAAGGAACCTAAGATACATGAAGAATAGCCTAGAAAAAATCATATATGCTTATGGCAGCGAGACTGACACACTCGGAGCCATATGAACCATATAGGCTACCAAATGTTTTCCCTGTCCTGACAGAGATTATTGCATTCAAGTGCCCCAAGATATCAGAAAACTGTCCATATTTAAGACAAGCTTTTGCAGTCTGATGACAGACACCTGTGGTGGTACTTCCAGAACAGCTTCAGGAGGCAGCTTTAACGCAGGTGCCGTTATGTCATCCTATAGAATGGCACTCTCCACCTGCAGGCTCAGCAGTTGGCTCAGCAACTCAGAGAAGTGCCTGCAAATGGAGGGGAAAGGTGTATAGATGGAACAAGAACATAATTGCATTGAGTCTGACACTTTTTTTTTTTATTTCTTTTCTTTTTAAAACAAGATTAAATGTCACATCACTGGCTGAAGAAATGAACATAGTCTGGGGAACTATGTTCCCTTCCAAATTCTGTAAAATGCAAGTTTCAAAAATGAAAATCACAAGAGATTTTATTTTTAGTCAAGAAATAACAAGAAGATGTTTAAGTCAGAAAACATAGGAATTTAACTATGTAGTCTTTGTCTGAGGGGAGAAAAGAAATCTTTCACTGCATGCAGTAGGGTTCATGAAAACAGACTGACAGCTCTGAAAAGTGAAGTCTTTTATGCACTGGTACAAGACAAGAAGAAGCTATGTTGCTTTTCCCATAATGTTCTGCCACCGCATATTAGATGAAGGTAGCTCAGTCTTACAGGTATACAACCTGGGGATTGTTCATAGCTTCCAGTTCACAGATTGTTCACAGTTCACAGATTCCAGATTGTTGGTAGCTTCCACTTCACAACCTGGGGATTGTTGATAGGTGTCAGGAAGGGACTGCTTGTGAATTACTTTTATTACTTTCAACTCAGCTAGGAGAAAAGGGATGAGGAGACAGGTTTGTTCATGATTTATTTGCAAATACTCTTTGCTCTGTCAGAATACAGTTGTTGGTTGACATCATATTATGTCTTACTAAATTCTATTACCTATTCAATATAGCTTTGGCTCTACAATTTGCTATGTGGATATTGATTCCTTATGTTATCAGACTGGCAATTGATACCAAGGAATATTGTCCTCACCATCCAAAAAATGAACTCGTTCACTCACAGAACTCATGAGCACCATACAGTTTTATTCAATGCAGCTGAGCAAAATATTTCCACTACGAATACTTCTGTAGTCTTCACAGATACTGTATAATAATCCATATTATTATACAAATTGCACAATTTCTTATTCAAGCTCAGCATATTTAGAAACCACAAAAATTAAGTACATAAGCGTGTCCATGCAAAAGCTAGTAATAGGGTGATGAGTGTCACTGAAAGCAAATATTTGTACCGTACTGATAGAAATGGATGTTTCTAAACACGGTATAAACCAGCTTGCTCTATTACAAGGAAAGGAAGAAAAGCTTTCCAGATAGAGCAGTAGACAATTTATTTATAAATTTGGGGAGATTGCTGAACTGCAATTCAACCTAAAATATTTAAGTTTCTTAGGCATATTATTCTTCAAAACAGTGTATTACATAGTCAATGAAAAGTAATTTAAAGTACAGATTAATTAATTCCATTACCCCCTAAAGAAGCTAATTAAGAACCTAATTTCTCAAACTCACTAATCCACAGAACTACATCCTAAAGGTCATATACCCCATGGGACCATAAATAGAGATTGGGGTCAGTTGAAACGTTCTGTTCATTTATGTTGATTAGCTGTAATGGTTTAATTTAAACACAAACCTAAATATCAATCTTTTCAAATTAGCAGCACAGGTAGGCTAGTTTACCATTTTGAATTTTATCTGATGAACTTTTAGCATGGACCAGCAGTGCACATTCAAGGCATTATTAAATAACATGAGCCCATTTATTACTAAATAAATGAGCCTTGTAAAAAACCTATGCACATTACTCAGTGGGAACAAACTATGAAAGATTCTACAGAGATGTTATGAGGTCCTCTCAAAATTATTCCACTCATAAAAAAGTTTCAGTAATAGAGAATTATTTTCCTTCCTTTTTTAGTTGCAAAATGGCAGAACAGCACAAGGAAATTGCATTACTTTCTATCAGAAAAACAGCATTTGACTTTTCTGCAGGAATACAAATTACCACCTACATATTGAATAATTCCTATTGTAAGGAAAAGGGCATGATTTCTGGAAATTCTTAAAACTTGTAGGCATTCGTTAACAAAAATCTTAATTTAATTTTGATGTTTTTTCTGTGAAAAGATACCCATCCCATGGTACACCAGGTTACACATTAGAATCAGAACCACATCTTTTACTGGGATAGGTCTTAGAAAGTCAACATTGTGGTAGATAAATTGTTTATAAGGTGAAGACATTTTTGACAACACCCACCACCATGCTGGAAACATCTTACCAAAGAAGAAATAAGCATTTGTTTCCCTCCTGTGCCTGAACTATAGCATTTTGGAGATTCTAGAAATGTTACCATCACCACCGCCACCCCAAATACCCCCACAAACAACCAAAATGCCCAAACCTAAAAACCCAGTGCTTTGACAGGAAAAAATGAGAAGGGCTTGCTTTTTTTAAAAAATCACTTTTATTCCACCACTTGTGGTTCAAACCCATAGAAGTAAAGCCACACTTACCTACTGAGACCACCAGCAGAACCTGATCTACTTTCATTCACTAAGAAAACATACTCAGCTTTTGATGAAGCTGTGACTTCCTCCTCTTACCCCTATTAATCATGCAATCCAGGATCCAGCCAACTCATTTGGAGCACAGCTGTTTTTTTTTCCTAGGAAACATGCCCCTGCCTCCAGTCACCCAGGAAAGAAAACAGAAAGAACAAGCTTGGGTCCTCCCCAAGGCTTGACACTCCTCACGGCAACCTGATAACACTTCTGCCCTGCCACCAGGTTGATTCAACTGGGAAGACAGACTTTTAAATTATACATGCCCTAAACCCCATATCAATAATTTATGAAACCTGTGAACCATTTCTTCTGTTTTGTGTCTGCATAGAGAAAGAAAATAGTGGTAATAAACAGTCCAACAACTCTACAGAATCCAGCAACAAATTTCTGATAGATCTTCTAGAATACAGCCTACACCAGCTTTCACACATACAGATTTTAATATGATTCAGTAAGCAGAAAAGGAAAAGGAAATCTATTGCCTCTCCCTTGCAAAAGATAAACTTAAGAAAAAAATCACACTCCTCTGAGGCATGCTTGCAATGGCAGATTAATGAATCACCTATCTCCTGCGAAGAAGTAAACATGCAAAATTAATTAAATGTTCCAGTGTTTAGAAGAATTGTAAAATGGAAAGCAGCAGCCAGAGGAGAAAGTGGAATTTACCTTACTTTTGAGATTGCATTGGCAAAGCTTGCAAATGATACATTAAAAAATAGTATGGCTTTGACAGCATTTATCTACTTAAAACATAAGAATTGCCACAACA